AAACAAAAACAAAATTGCAATTAAATTATTTATTTAAAATTTAAATTTTGTTTGGGAAAAACAACCACAATTTAAAGCAGTATTACACTTATTGTTTTTATGCTTAAACCCTTTTCATATTTGACCCATGTGTTTTCTTAATCATATTCCAGTTTGTTTTATTTACAATTTTTACAGTGTACTTTTACAGTTGTTTGTAATAATTTAAAAGAATAATGGTAACATTATTAATCTTAATGTTCATTTCAGCATTCACTAATTTAGCATTTTTAATTTTTGCATTAAATTTTGCATTCAATGTTGTGTCTGTTAATATCAGTTAATATACAGTGAAATAGCATGAACAATGAACTTTTTTATTAAACGAACATTAACATGGTATTTGTAGTAACATAATTATTGTATTGTAACTAACATTATCATAGAATAATAAATGAAGTACAACATATTTAATGCCATTGTTTGTTCATGCTAGCACCTTAATGTAAAGTGTTACCAGAATAATTAAAGATAATGTAAACATACTTTATATTTCATCTTATAGTAGGCAAACAGTCTGTCTATGTTCTGCCAACACTGGTGACAATCATTGCGGTGTCGATACTTCTCAATGTCATCCTGTGTTATATCTTAAAGAAGCATAGAGCAGGTAATATTTATTTGCAGCATATACTGGAATTTTCAAAGCATGCACAATCTTTGTTTTTCTAATCTCACTTTTGTCAATTTTTTTCAGGCATGTCACAAACTAAATCAAGTCCAAATGTAAGAACTTTTCTACACATTCTACAAATATTTAAAAGCTGTTAAATGTTGTAATCTATCTTTTACATTTTATTGAACTATGTTGCATTAACATTTGCTCACAATCAGAGGAAAACTAAACAGAGATCGAAAAAAGATCAAGAGCCCCAGGTAACATATGGAGCTGTGAGACATCAAGAGAATTAGTGGATTTGAAATGATCATATGAAATTATTTCATCTTGTAAGGAATTGACCTACAGCATATCCAATTTAAAAAAAAAAAAATTCTGACAATTAAAATGCTAAATGCCAGTTTTGACCTGTATAATTTGTGCTGTGTAGTATTAGAACAGTCTGCAATGTCATGCCCAACTGACTGTACAATATTTCTGTTGTCTAATGCATCAGAAAATGTAACTAGTTTTCGATCAAGTGCTATAGTGTACTAATGTTTCATATGCATGAAAAACACTTAAGAGCAGGAGGGTACCGTACAGTACACTGAAAAAAGGGTGTAGGATTTACTTAATTTTCACTCAGAAATTGCTAGTAAATTTGACAAATAATTACAAAGAAACAGCAAGTAACACAATGAATTAACTGTGAAATCTTGAAGTAGAATGACTGAAATAGTATTTTCTTTGTAAAACATACTCCAGTAATCTTTGTTTTATTTACAACTTTGAAAGGTCTTTTTTTTTTCAGTGTACTTATTTGACAAATTCTCAAAAATACTTCTGTTGACATTTCATCTTGATATGTAATTTCTTTAAATTTTCATTAAAATTGCAACCATTTTGTCTGTCTCACATCACCCAAGCATGTGTAAGTTTGTACTGTATGTGTGCACATGAACAAATTATTACTTAAACCACCACAGGCATATAAGAACACAACTGGAGTTGAAAACATTAACATTTATTTATTGATTAAGAGGTTATACATTTTATGATAAATATGGTCTTTTATTGTATTATTGGCAAAGATACTATGATTCAAATTGCATTTCTATACATAAATACAAAATCTGAGGTAGGGCCTCAAGGATTAATGACATTTAAAATAAATTATGCCTTTACATATATGTTTATTTTTCTCTTTTTATACATTTTGCTTTTTTTTTTGTCCGGCACAGGATTTAAAATCTAGATATTTTTCATATTTATACTCTACAATTCAACTCAAATGATGCCATGATCTATTGGAGGTACATATCTGTATCCATAGGCAGATTTCCCTCATGTAAAACACACAGAAATATATGACATTACCCAAGTAATAAGAAATTTTACCTATACTCCGATAGGTCCACAGTAAAGTGCCAAATGACACGACATACATTACAATATAGACTGACCACATAATGACTGATTGGAAGCTATTCTGAAATACACATAATAGTTTATTACCAGAGGACATCTATAAGGCCAAAGGTTACCTGAAGATGTCATATAACATATTGACACACATCAATAATGACCACTAAATGAAGGATGAGTGGCAGTATCTCAGTCTCCTAAATACACAGAATAATATATTTCATTTCTTCATATAGGCTATTTGTGTGTATATATATATATATATATGTCTAAAAGATGTCTTTTCTTTTAGAATATATGTTCTTTTTAAGCTTTTTTTTTTTCAGAACCCTTTGAGAAGTTCTCCTTCTTTGGTTGCCTACTGCCCAGTGTCGCCCTGTAGGTAGGAATAGGTGGTAAACTCAGCTGCAGCTGCTAAGTGAGGGACACATTCGAGAAAAAGGAGCGTAAAGGGGAAGCATACATGGACAAATAATCCACATCAACACAAACAGCACATGCAAGACTGTTACCTATTATTTTTTTCCCCACAGAATATTTGTTAAGGGAAGGGCTTGTAACAATAGCTCTCGTACAGACGTACAGCAACACAAGGACTAACGGAAACTCCATCCAGAACCTCAAATATTACAATGACCGCAGCAGCCGTCTACTATTCGTGTGCATTGTATACTGTTTGTTGTGCTACGTAACCCAGAGCTTCTATTTGAGTACAAATCAGCTCTTGTGTATACAGATGAAACAATGCAATTGCAATGTATAGGAACCAAGCCCTATGAAAACCTAAAACTTAGTGCCAGGCTGCATGTGACCACATCTGGATGGCTGGATAAGTATAACTCTAAACATTAAGCACTGCATATTATTCCACACATTCTCACACACACACATATACTACATAGATTAAACATGTATCAGAAAAAACATCTCTTTTGCGACACTAATATACTGAGGAATACCTTTTTTCTTTTTTCTTTTTTCTTTTATAAATGCTTTATATTCAAGGTGATTAGTGTAGTATCTGCATATTACATGGCTTTTGAAACACATCACTCCCAGGCAAAGTCTCAGTGTTATTATTTGCATTGCGTGGGCAGTGTGGCTCTTTTCACATGATACTAACTAAATCATTTCCACAGTACTAATCATTTAAGTATTCATGTTGAACTAACATAACACTTTTTTGGCTTTTTTTTCATTGTGGTGGTGAACAAACACTTATTTTTATGTAATGTTTAATCAAAGTGCTTTTTGTAGTGCTTTGACTGATCAGCACAACTAACCAGAAAAAAATAACTGCCTAAAGCAATACTACGAAAGCATTTCATCTGTAACCATATTTACAGTCCAGTAGCTAGAAATGGAACACTAATTATAAGATATATAAGGATTCAAATTGTCAATATGGCATAATATTCTGAAAGTGTGCATTTTTACAAATCTTATAGAGAATCGGTTATGTAGTGTAGGGCTGCACGATAATGGTTAAATGGTTGACCACAATTTCTTTGCTCAAAATATACATTTTTTAATTTCACCAGAAAATTGCACTTTCACATAAACACAAATCAAGAGAAAGTCAACTCACACAGTTTGCTTGCAGCAAACAGCACAAACGGCTGCCTGAAGGAAACCAGACTGGTTGTATTGCACTTTTATTATCTCAATAGAGATCTCTAAACTCCAACCTACATGTTTGTCTGTGTTTTTTTAGCTCATCTGTACTTTTTCAATAATGTAGAGAGAGCGTGTACACATGGTTGGAAAGATTAAGTAAACCATGTATTTATTTATGAAAAAATACTCTGATTGGGGCATTTAAACTCTTGAAATCTGGCAACAGCAACCATGAACAGAAGCATGTTACCAATGCAAGATAATGCAAATGCTAAATTAAATTGAAAGGTTTTCAGGATAATAACCAGCGGGGAAAATATCACAGGCGATAATGCTTAATAAATCGAGAGAAGCAGAAATCGCAACCACAATTAAAATACGATTCATCATGCAGCCCTAGTTATATGTGAATCACATCAAGTTTCCACAAGCATCGAACATCTAATAAGGTTGATAGAATGGAGTAATACCTGAGACCCTGTTTCATGAAGATGAACAGACAAACAGGTGCAAAACATTCAAAAAAAGAAAAGAAAAAAGGAGTGTGGTCCCCAAGCACAGGATTTCAAATTAAGAACATTTGTTTTGTTTTTTTCTAATCTACATATCCTCTGCAAGCAGTTGTTAAAACTAGCATGTCAACTAGATGAAGTTTCTAAAATATACACTTTTTATGAGACGACTGGTTTGCCATACATACCACACTCCTTGTTTTTCCTCTACTTTTCGTTTGTGTACTCCACTATAACTGCGTACTGCATAAGAATAGGAGGATTCACAAAGTATATAAACAGATCACGACACAGACTCGAAAGCATACTCTAAATATCCGAATACATATATAACCGCTAGTTGGCCGTTGAGTACTACTCTAAACAACACTGAAAGGCATCATTACAGTTTTGCATGGCTACGTTTTCTTTGAAGACAGGGATGGATCTATACTACTGGAGCCTACACTATGAGTTTGGCTTCTATAACATTGTAGAGATATTTCTGACAGGTTAATAAAAGAGTAGGATAGCTTATAATTCACAGAGACTGAAATGTGCTCACTTCCCTCCATAATGTAGTACGATTGGTTTAATTAGCACTATGCAGTATTTTATAAATAGAGGAAGTCTGAGGCACAAGGTATACGGCTATGAGTGGAGAGCGATAGTACGATACCAGAAAAGTGTTCGAGTTCACTGTGCACTACTCAGCATTTTTTATCATTATGTCTGCTACATTTAAGAGATGACAAGCAAATAGACAAGAAATATAAATGTTATTCTACTATTTTTTTTTTTCTTTTTAACATCAGCAGTCACTTCGGAATGAAAAAATAATTATAAAACAACCACTGCATGATGCACAATCAGTCAAATATTGCCTCAACAGTTGCAACTGCATCACTATATTGCCTCTGAGAAAAAGGTTCAGCTGGGATCGGTGTATCAGAATGTGCGCAAAAGACCTCTACTCTCAGATTGACTATGAATAATTATTCAGAAAACAACAAAATCATAGGGAGTTGTCTGTGCTTTCCACCTGAAAGACCCCTCTAAAAGTGCCAGAAGAGGGGGAATATGGCTGAAAGAGAACATTATGGAAAAAAGGGGAGGTTGAATGGGGAAAGAGTTTGACGTGAGTGCTGGTCTCACCCTCAGAGGCCTCAGGGAATCTCACACTCACAGGGAATTGAGGAGGATTATTGATATTGGGCTGATAGCTGGAAATCTTTGGGGGGAAGTTTGAGGCCAAGGGAGTTGGTGCCCAGAGGGTCGATCATGTTCTTGTAGCGTTCCCCGCGGTGTTTCATCAGGAATGGACCCCAGTCGGGCTGAGGACAGCACACCAACTTCAACCGCTGTAGAGAACGAGAATGGTCGTCAAAATTGCATGCAGGGTGCTTGGTTTGCATATCGATTAATTAATTACGTTTGTTTGATCTTAAAAAAAAAAAAAAATTACTGAAAAAGTATCACTTTGATTCATTATTTTGTTGTTAACATTGTACAAGTGCATAAATTTTTTTTGTTTTATATCGATTTTGATAATTGTTTTATAAGTATTATGCATGCAAAAATTGAGTTCATATTTATTACAGTAAAACTAGAACTAAAACCATAAAAATAAATTTTTCATTACTTGAAATAAATATTAACTATTTCAGCAACATTTCTCATTTTTATTCAGTTAAGCTTGGTGAACTTAAAAAAAAAACTAAACTTGAAACTGAAATAAAAATGAATAAACTATATAGACATGTAAAAAAAAAAAACTAATGAAATGGACAAAAACACAACAAAAATCACTAAACTTTAACTAAAATTAAAATGAAAACATAAAATTAAAAAATAAAAACTAATTCAAAATATTAGTAAAAACTATAATACTATCTTAGTGATACTAAAATAACACTGGCTTTCATTCCACAGGACTAAAGCCCCGTTCACACCAAGAACCGATAACTATAAAAATAACTATAAAGATAACGATATTAGCGTCCACACCAGCGAACGATATCGTCTGTTTATTCTAAGCGCACATGCGTCTGCCGCTTTAAATTCTTGAGCTCGTTACAGCAGGATGGATTCTGATTGGCTGTCATTGTTTTATCGTTCATCAGCTGGAATAAAATCGTTTTGAAAGTGATTCCAACGATATCGGTCCTCTGTATCGTTATCATTATAGTTGTGGTGTGAACTATGCTATTCTTTAATACTGAGAACGATTTTTAGAACTATATCTTTATCGTTATCTTTATAGTTATCGTGCTTGGTGTGAACGGGCCTTAACTGCAAGCAGTACTAACAGTAATAGTACGGATGAATGTGTGCATGCAATAGCATTGGATGTGAGTCACAATTATCTGCAGGAATGGTCATAAAAGGAATAAGGTGGGCATACTGTGAGAATGGTTGGTGTGACAAAGGCCCAGCAGATTCTCCAAAACTTGTTTGGCTGAAACCCAATCATCATCTCAATATCCTCACAGAACCGCTGTAGACCTGCACCACAAATACAGGAAGGAAGGAAGGAAGGAAGGAAGAAGAAAGAAAGAAAGAAAGAAAGAAAGAAAGAAAGTGGGCATTTTAGCACTTC